GCCTCGGCCTCCCAAAGTGCTGGGATTACAAGCGTGAGCCACCGCGTCCGGCTTTTCCTACTTCTTCTCTTCAATTCCTCCTTCCTTCTCTCATTTTCAGTAATTTCACACACATTTACTGAGCACAGTTATGAGCCAACTATACAATTAGAAATGTTTACACAAAAATAAAAGTTATCATTCTTTAAGGCTTAAGATACTGAATTAGCTCAACCTTTTTTATGTAGGTGACTTGAGGTACTTTACATAATATTTGTGTTTTAAAAGGCTAACTTCCCATTCATAATTGTCAAACCTTGGATGCAATCAAGCTATCCTTAAATGGGTGAGTGGATGAACTGTTGTTACAGCTATACAATGAAATATTATCCAATGATAAAAAGAATTGAGTTATCAAACCATGAAAGACATAGAGGAACCTTAAAAGAATATTGCTAAGTGAAGGAAGCCAATCTGCATGATTCCAACTATCTGATATTCTGGAAAAGTTAAATCTACAGAAGACAGTAAAAAGACCAGTGGTTGCCAGAGGCTGGAGTAGGGTACCAAAAAAAAAAGGAATAAGTAAGTAGAAAATAGGGTGATATGGTTTGACTGTGTCCCCACCCAAATCTCATCTGGAATTATAGCTCCCATAATTCCCATGTGTTGTGGGGGGGACACAGTGCGAGGTAATGGAATCATGGGGGCAGTTTCCCCCATACTGTTCTCGTGGTAGTGAACAAGTCTCACGAGATCTGATGGTTTTATGAGGGGTATCCCCTTTTGCTTGGCTCTCATTCTCTCTTGCTTGCCACCATGTAAGATGTCCCTCTGCTTCTCCTTCGTCTTCTGCCATGATTGTGAGGCCTTCCCAGCCATGTGGAACTGTGAGTCCATTAAACCTCTTTCCTTTATAAATTACCTAGTCTCGGGTATATCTTTGTTAGCAGCATGAGAAAAAACTCATACAGAAGATGTTTCGGACAATGAAACTATTCTGTATGATACTGTAATAGTGGATACATGTCATTATATATTTGTCAAAATTCATTGAATGTACAACACAGTGAACCCTGTTTAATCTATGGACTTTAGTTAATAATAATGTACATCAATATTGACTCATCAGTTATAACAAATGTACCACACTAATGCAAGATGCTAAATGGAGAAATCTGGGAGAGAAGGGAGGATGTATAAGAACTTGCCATACTTTCCATTCATTTTTCTGTAAACCGAAAACTGCTCCCCCAACCAAAAAAAGTCTACTAGTTAAAAGAAAAAAGTTAATGACAAAGAAGGAAGACAAGAGCACCAAGTCACCAAAAAAGAAACAATAAGAGGTTAGAGCTGAAATCTGGAAAGGCAATGAAATCTTTAAGAGGGAAAATAGATTGAGGAGAGAGAAAGGGCAAATTATGTAATCCTCTGTGTGAAAAGACAGGAACATTCACTTCAATTTAGGGTTCCAGCTGGCTGGCAGGCTGGCTGATTGATTACTTAATTTAGAGGAGTCTCACTGTCACCCAGGCTGGAGTCCACTGATTGACTGATTGATTATTTAATTTAGAAGAGTCTCACTGTCACCCAGGATGGAGTCCAGTGGTGTCATCTCAGTTCACTGCAACCTCCACCTCCCAGGATCAAGCGATTCTACTGCCTCAGCCTCCCAAGTAGCTGGAATTACAGGCATGCACCACCACGCCCAGCTTTTGTTTTGTTTTGTTTTTTATTTTTAGTAGAGATAGGGTTTCGCAATATTGGCCAGACTGGTCTCAAAGTCCTGACCTAGGGTGATCTACCCACCTTAGCCTCCCAAAGTACTGGGATTACAGGCGTGAGCCACTGTACCCGGCCTCATTCTGGCTTTTAATGAAGCCCATATAATGAGAGTTTTCATTACTATGTTTAGCTTGAAGTCCTTACATATCCCGATCCTCTCATCAAAACTGAGATAAGAATATGTAAATGCCTTTAAAAAGACACAGAATAAACATTCTGTCTACCTACCTCATTGCTACTCAACTCACTCTACCAATCTCAGCACTAGCTCAATGTTTCTGGGGCTAAACCATGAGTAAACTGAACAGTAAACTGCTGTATTTCATCAAATTCAAGATATCACTAATTGTTAAGAGGTGACATTACTCCGCATACGGCTAATAAATAAAAAGCCAATTAATCATCACAACATCAGTTAATTGAAGATTTCAGATGTTAAAATGTAGAATTTAAAATAGTTACTTCAAAAAGAGGCAATCTTTTGTTTAATAACAGACATAAAAATGATAATCCTCATATTACAAATATCTTTTATGTGACATTAATTTCCCCAAAAAAGAAAACCTGTAATTTGAAAATAAGCTGTGATAATGCAACGAGAACCATTTCCAAACTGAGCTATAGTAGCAATAAAAATATGTACAACTCAGGCAAAGGATGTATTTACAACTGAGATCTTCTGCATAGATTTCATAAAATGGTAGTGAAGAAATCTTCCCAAATAAAAAAACTGTACCTCTTAACCGTATCATGATCCAAAGTATGCAAGAGAGAAATGTAATAAATATAGGCCCTGATACCAGTTAAAATACTTTATCAAAGGTTACTTTTTCCAATCA